AGAGAGAGAGAGAGAGAGAGAGAGAGAGAGAGAGAGAGAGAGAGAGACTATTTGCGTGTCTTATTACATATGTCCTCCGGGGCGAAGCCCGGGTAACCAGCTAGTATATATATATATATAAGGAAAAGAAATAATAAACAACCAGTTCTCTCTTCATATTTCACCTTGCATTTTTTTACCATTTAAGGTATACCATATATCAATAATATACCATATATATCTTTCCACATATATGTTTTTAAACATTAAATGTTAACTAATTAAAATTAATACTTAATCTACTAACTAGTAAAAAAATTCAAGGCGAAAAGAAAGAACTGAGCTGCGTTCTGAACTTCAACGTGAATAACTCTAAGCTATAATTTACGTCACGTACACTATAGCATTAGAGTTACCTAGGTGTGCCTAGGCATAATTCCTGAACGCACTCCTTACTCATTATGTCATTATTTTTCTCGTCAGACATTTTAATATTCCGATGAACCGCGCGCACATTGATTATTGACCCAACAGGTATCCAAATCAGGCTGGTCAGACTACTACTATAACTACTATCGGCAAAGTACATTTCATATACTGCTGTCGGTAAAGTAATTAGGAACATAGTGCATTAATGAACTCGCTGGGTTATAGTAGTCTGACCTATCAAGCCTGATTTATCTGCTGGAACAATAATCAATGCGCGCGTGGTACAACGAAATATTAAAATGTATAATGAGAAAAATAATGTTCTTTCTTTTCGGCTTTCGCTTTTCTTTACCAGTTAGATTAAGCAATTTTATCATTTAACATTCAATGTTTAAAAATATATATGTATATATGTATATTCCATATTATATTTTTGGTATCATTTGTTTCAGATTCTTCATGTCGGGATATCTGGCGTTGGGATTTGACTTGAGCATCGAATTTACATACCCAGAATCGGAAAATATAACCGCAGGATTTCTCAATATAATGACCAGCATTTACGGCATTATACTCATTATAATATTTGGATTATTACTGAACGCGTACGGTGATATTCCAGTGCACATCGGCTTGTGCACGGTTTTACTGTTCGGTTTCATCTTGACCGCCGCAACGAAAGACGAGCAAAGACGACAAGATGCGAGAAAGAAGGCTCAGTATCAAGAACTCGCGAGAATTTAGAAAAATGTCGACGGCGTTGCAGAAACTAATCAATTAATCAATTAATTAATTAATCAATTAATCAATTAACTTATAACATTAATCAGTAAACACAAATAATATCAAATCTTTCAATACTGATAAATTTTCAAACACATGTAACCTTATTCACTTTCTGACTTTTCATCAATGTTAGTTTCTAAGTCATACATTAATTCCAATAAATGTCTAAAAAGAGAATTAATCTCATATTGTGCACAGATGTAAATTACGATTTTACAGGAACATAAAACCGTGAGTAATTAAATAAAATATAAAAAAAAAGTTTCATTATAAAAATATTTACATAATTTTCAATAAATCTTTGACTTTTTTCTTTACATGCACATTTTTTAGCATTTATATGTATTTACATAAAATATTAAATAACATGTATAATTTAAAGAAATTAGAAGTTAAATTTACGTTTTGCGTTTAAAGTTTTGAACCATACGCAGCTAAAGAAACGATTTTGCACGATTATAGATTATTCATTGTCTACATAGACATCGAACACATCGTTTACGTTGTCTACGTATATAGAAAATTGCTCAATACTACAAGAATAAAATGAATAACGCGTGCCATCGCATACTTGTTTTAAAGTGGTGCAATTAAAATACGCAGCATTCAAATCTGACAAAAAACATGATAAAACTAAAACTGTAAGCATGTATGATCTTCTTAAATCTTCGAGCTAATAATGTCATTCTATTTGTTCATGTACAGATAAGGTAAACATGTCGCGTGATATTAGATCAGCCTGACACTGCAACGAAGATGTTACTTGACACACCATTTTCAAATCAATTCGCGAGAAATGTGAAGAATTTTGAAACGTGAAATACGATTCTAAATTGTGCCGCGTTATTCAAAATTTGATAAGAAAGTTTTTCACAGTGTAATTAACATTTTAAGAGTGTACAATTTGATGTAATACTACGAATTTCGAAATTAAATATCTTGGCGTTTATTGAAAATATAATTTAAGAAAAGTGTATAAGATTGGAGTTTCTTTAACTTAAACAGATATACATATATTAAAGATACTTATAAAATTTATTTTGCAAAAGAGTGAAAATGACGATAGTGGAAGATCAAAGTTTGAGCGAAACACTCGCGACAAAAGATTCGACAAAAATAACGAAATCGGAACTAGACGACGTTGGACCGCTAAAATTGAAGGTGTATAAAAGAAGATGGCTAATGCTGGCCATCTTCATGTATTATACTGGATCGAACTCTGCTCAGTGGATAGAATACTCGATTATAACTAATATAGTTACTAGGTATCACATTTTCCTTAAAATACGAACAGTATATATTTTTGAACGTAAAAACATTAATATTTTTTTTATATTATTTATATTATTTATATTGTATATTCTTTAGGTATTATGGAGTGTCTTCGTTAATGGTTGACTGGACTTCGATGTCGTTCATGGCATTTTACGCGACGTTTATACTCCCAGCGTTGTATGTGACAGACAGGTACGGTCTGCGATGGAACACCATCATAGGCACTGGCTTAAATTGTCTAGGTGCCTGGATAAAAACCCTTTCCGTTCAACCTGACAGGTTTTATGTCGCTTTCATCGGTCATTCGGTAGTCGCGCTAGCTCAGGTTACATACATCTCTTAATTTACTCTATTAATATTTTTCAGAAATCTTGACTGCTACACCTCCTCTTTTCTTTTTCATATTGTTGTCCCATTATTATCTCCCTCTATATTCTCTGCCATGCACACTTAAAGAATAATTATTTTATTTCATATTAGACTATGGTCCTGCAGTTACCAGGACGGATAGCCGCGCAATGGTTTCCTGCTACCGAACTCTCGACTGCCACGTCTTTAGGTGTTTTCGGCAATCAATTGGGAATAGCATTGGGTTTTCTCTTAGGGCCTATAATAGTGAAAAACCACGAGAGCCTGGATGACATCGGCAACGATTTGTCACGTTTATGCTGGATCGTTGCAATCGTCAATTCGATTATATTTGTTCTGGCACTAATATGTGAGTTCGTAATCTATTATAAATAAAGTAATAAATAATAGTATATTTGCCAATCATATAAGTATTTAATTCTTATCTACTGTGACATGTAAAACAAATTTGAGCTTGATGTAAAAAATATTTTTCTAGTTTTTTTTTATGATCTTCCACGTATAAAAAGTCATTCATTAACTTAATAAAATGATAAATAACCAAAATTAAATTTGAATTGCGCATACTAATATAAAATTTATATCTTTGTTTGCGCGTTGTTACGTTAACTTTAGTAAATGAAATTTGAGTGTCTCTTTTAAACGATCATTATTGATATCCGTTAAGCCGAAATAATCCTTTATAGATATTAATTAAAAAGGAAGTTATCTTTCAATATAGCTATCAAATTTTCAACTTTTTCCAAAACCGCCGATAATCCACTTTATTCTCGTTCTCTTTATTTGGGTTTGTTTTTAACCAAACGCAAAAGGATAAAGTTAATTAATTAACCATCGCTTGCGTCCCAGAAAAGATTATCTCGTTTTAATCATCTCAATGTGCTTTCGCGTCAGTCTTTCAGAATGAACCAAAACTGCCGCCGAGCGAGACGCGGGCGTTGCAAAAAATGAATCGGACAAAGAAAAGAGAGCAATTCATGGCGCCGATTAAAAGGCTCTGCAAAAACAAAAACTTTATCATGCTTTGTAATTCCTATGGTTTAAACGTTGGCGTGCTGAGTACCGTTTCTACATTACTCAATCAGATATTCCTCGTACATTTCGAAGTAAGTGTATTTCGATGCAGCAGATCATAAAAAAAGAGATATTCGAACAAAAATTTATGAATTTACGTCGACAACATCTAGAAAAATTTTTTCATATTCTGTCTAAAGTCAAGACATACATATAACTGCGCATGTGTTTCAGAACGGAGAAGAAGATGCAGGCAGAATTGGCTTAGCTATAATTACAGCCGGTATGGCCGGTTCTGTTAGTTTCGGTATCATCCTTGATAGGACACATAAGTTCAAGTAAGAAAGACATTTGCAATTGTGTTAGAAGTCCAATTTAAATGTATCTTGTATTTATTATAAATTATGAGATAGAAACTTTGACTAATAATTAATATTTTCAGAGAAACTGCCGTGGCTGTATATTTTCTTACATTATGTGGTCAAATATTATTCGCGGTATCCATTTGCGTTGGCATAAAATGGATGGTATATGTGTCAGCAATTTTTCTAGGGTAACATATCGACATTTGTATCAAGAAACACGGTAATGTCTCGCGCCAAGTACGCACGGAGTGAGACCGCACCGTGATATATATTTATACGCGAATATTAATTGGAAAGTTAAAATAAAAAATTGATTTTGTAAAACATGTGGATAACATGATTTTCATTTAAAATTCAATCCGAGAATGGGGTGACGACTCCGCCCCGGCAATTTTGACATTTCAATTTTTGCATTTTTGTCGTTTCCACTCTGTACCAGTTGAACAAAGCGACGATAGACCAAAAATGTCCGTATAAATTTTATAGCCAAGGGTTCACTCTTTACAACGGTATACCACATTTTACTAAAATTATTTGTTTTGTTGTTAAAAATCGGCACCGAAAAAATAGTGACGACTTTACCCCGGTCTCCCCTATCTATTATATTTATATGGTATCATTCATTTCAGATTCTTCATGTCGGGATATCTGGCTTTGGGATATGACTTGTGCACCGAATTTACGTATCCAGAATCAGAGAATATACCCGCGGGATTTCTCAATGTAATGACCTGCATATACGGCATTATACTCATTATAATATTTGGATTATTACTGAACGCGTACGGTGATATTCCAGTGCACATCGGCTTGTGCACGGTTTTACTGTTCGGTTTTATTTTGACCGTCATAACGAAAGACGAGCAACGACGACAAGATGCGAGGAAGAAAGTTCAGTATCAAGAACTCTCAAAAATTAAGAAAAATGTCGACGGCGTTCCAGAAACTAATCAATTAACTTATAATATTAATTAGTAGATACAAATAATATCAAATCTTTTAATACTGATGAATTTTCGAACACATGTAATTTTATTCACATTCTAATTTTTCATGAATATTAGTTTCTGAGCCAGAGTGGACTCATTTTTTGTAACATTTGGCCGTATCATTGCTTCATATGGCCAAAAGACAACAACAAGGAGAAATATTCCTTCTGCTGCCAGCATACTTTTCTAATATGTATGAAACTATTTATCTTTATTAAGATACAACTTTAGATATAAGTATGGTTTTATTTTTATTATCTAACAGTGAGTTTTATTGCCTAGGAAAAAAAAATTTACTTTAAATTCTTTTAAGTTAAAAGATTCATTATATTATTTTAATGTATTTGCAATAAGTACAGTTCAATAACTTTGAAACGTATTCGCGGGTTCTCATTATGATTCTATTAATATTTTTATAGTTAAATAACTATTAATTTTTATTTATTGTATTTCTCTGTATACGTGTACAAGTGTAGCCCTAAGTATATTAGCACACCAAATTAATAAATAATGCAAAACGAGTCCGAGATGAAATATCTGTCAATTCTTTATAGCTTATCCATTTTAAGATAACGGATTCATAAAGTTCTGCATTTATTTTTAATACAATTATAAAGATACGTAAATATATATCTCATAAAATTTTCACAGATCCGTTATCTCATTAATACTTTTTGTCACTCACCGATCGACAGTAGACAGTTGTCAACCACGTTGTAGTTACGATGATTCTGTAATATACAAACATAAGAGTCAAATTAAAACGGCGTTCAAAATAATCAATAATTTATAAGATTCTTTTTGTATGCATACAGAATTTCTTAATGGCTTTTTATTAAATATCTATTAAATATTTATTAAATTATAAATTTTTTCGAAAAGGTTCTGCATAAGAATAAATTTTTATAAAACTTTAGATAAATTTTTTTCTCTAATTATTATTTTTAAATAATTAAAACAAAACGGCTAATTTTACGCAAGTATAAAGCAATAGCTTACCGCAAAGTTGTTCCACCGGCGTCCGATACGTCTCGAGGCTTCCTTATATCCTCAGGTTCTTTCATCTAAACCCCTTCTTTTACATCACACAACAGAGTATATGTCTACAAGACTGATCTGTAACATATAAAAATATTTAAATAAAAATAATGTCTAAAATAAATATCCTATTATCCTAATTTTAATATAATTTGTACTATAAATTTTAATTATTCAGAAATATTTAGAAATATTTTATATATATTTATTAATATTAATCACAAATCATAAATATACAATAATTTATTAAATATTAAAAAAAATCTTCAAATTTAAGCCAAAATATTTTAAACAATAAATAAGTAAAATAAGTAAGTCTGTTTCTTCTTTTTCGAAGAAGTTCCTGAAATGGTGCAATAAGTTAGAGTGAGACAAGTATATTTTGTTTCACTCTAACTTATTGCACTAGTGCACCAGTTCAGGAAGTTCTTCGAAAAATAACAAACGGAGTGGAATACGACCGTATGAGATGTAATATACAATCAAATTACGGAAAAGCCGTTAAAATATTTCATTATTATTACACAATGCATTAGACATTTAATACACAATTACGTACAGTGATCTGAAAACGACATGCTGCGCAAATAAATAATTATTTTCATTTTTTAACAATTAATAAATAGATTAATAAAATGCTCACCTCATCTGTTACACCTGGCCGTCTCTTCGACTCCTTCTTTTTTCTTCTTTCTCCGTATTTCTTCGTGACACTTACATCTGTGTTTCCTAAAACAAACAAAATATTGATTACAATTAATCGATTACAAACAATCACTAGAATACAATGATCGTACGGCAATGATCGTACGGCTCTGCCATACTTTCCATCGATACTCTCGATGGAAATTAATCACACGCGTACATACTTAAAATCATATTGCGACAGCGGAGAAATAAGAGAAAAAATTATAGCACGTTCGATCTCAGCGATATTTCACAAATAAAAATCACACAACGAAATGTATCAACAAAACGCGGCGTCGCTAGATTGATTCGCGCGATAGATCTTCGGCCGAACAAAAGACTTTAGAAATACGCGTTCAAACGGATTATCAATTAATATCTGAACGTCGAATCTATACTTATCTCGCGACAAGTACTGCAACAAATATTATAAATACTAAATACAAAGTTAATTTACATGTTATACTCACCAGTTAAATAAGTCGCGACGGCTACTCATTTCCGGAGCCGATCTGATCCGATCCGTCTCGTGTCTGTCCGCCGCGGGCGCCGCGATCTGGAAATGAAAGGGGAACGTAATCAACATGGCGGAGGCGCTTCGTCTTCCGCGCGTGGTTAACGTCTCGCACCCTGCACGGCGCGGTGGTGTCACTATACGCGTCCCGCTCTTAACTTCGCGATTATACATTTCTCACACTTCGAATGGGAAATATATACTATATGCATGCCTTTTATTACAATTATTATTTTGCCTCCCAACGAATCGCGCGGCGTATGAATATTCTTGACAGATATTCGCGATTTCGCGACTGACCGCACGACGCGACGCGCTTTCGGCCGAACAAGTACTGCGAATATGTATTTTCAAGAACTATCAATACCGAAGCCGGGAGCGCCAAATGTATATATACGCGATAGATGGTACAGTAAATGACGAACGCAAGGTTAATATATCTTATTTTTACCAGTTAAACGAGTCGCGACGCCACTCGTCCCGGAGCCGAGCCGTCCCGTGTCCGGACTGTCTGAAAACGAAGAGAGCAGACTGCGGCGTAATGAACATGGCGCGGATGAGGCGCTTTCGTGCTTCGTCTCCCGCGCGCGCGGTCAACTTCACGCAACAAGATCGCCAAAGCACATTAACATATGGCGTAGCGATATACGACGGTCGTCGTCCCCGACCTGAAAGATCAGGATACGCCAATAAGCTTGTGCGTTACTTTTACATCCACGACTACGACTGTCATATGTGCTTTGGCCCTTAACTTTAACGCGATTATGAATTTCGAGCGCGCTATATTAGCGCTTTTGCGTTATTCTTGTTTTTTTTTTATCTAATGAGTGATAAAGATAGAATAATGCAACCCCGAACGCACCCTTCGCACAACAAATAGCGTTCGCTCACTGTTTAAACCGATAACCGATCAGAATCTGTTGCAAAGCAGATGAATGGAATGGCCTCTCTCAGGTTTCTCTCTGATTGCGTAGATGCATCCTGTTTCACCCCGCATGACTCGAATTGGTATATCGCTATTGGTAAAGTAATTACATCATCAACCACTGTCGATAAACTAAAGAGACTGCACCGACCAGATATATTTTGTCGGTATAGTGCTCTGTGAGTGCTGCGACCATAGCGTGTTACCCGTTGAAAATATTCATAGCATGGCTACGTAGTTCAAGAAATGCAGGCACGACCGGCGCGTCAGGCGTCTCTCTTATAACATATGATAACCACGTGTATTCGGTGTATTGTGTTCATCTCTTGTGTCTCCATAAACATATTCATTAATTCGGTCAATTTTATTTATAATCACGCAGGCGGCAACACACGACAAAAAGAGCAATAAAGAGAGAGAGAGGTAAGGTAAGGTATTTATCAAAGAAACATACATGAGGAAAAGGAGAAGAAGCATGTGATATAGGTTAACCCTCAGAAGGCCGACACCGGATAACTTCTGACCCATAGTAAAGTTTCTCTTGTATGTGTTGCAAGACAATTTTATATGAGAATGTTACTCATTTATTGGTTTTTCTTTTTGTTTAAAGCTCAAGACTTAAGACTCCTTGAGCCGTATAGTCTAAACGGAGTCAAGGCATGGGTCACCAGTCTCACTCAAGTCAGGAGCATAAATATATGTATATGACTAGATACAGCTTTCTCTATCTTTTCATTTGTGATAAGGAGTCGTATGACCTGCGTCATATTGAGAATTTAGATTCTAGCATCTCTGAACTCTGGGACAAAAGTATTTACACGTGGCGTGAATCACCGGTAAGTTATCGTTTCTGTATCATAAGATAACTTAATATTTTTAATAATTTCTGCAGTTTTAAACAGCTATAAAGCTAAATATATAATACATACAGCACACATACACATATTACACTTATACTTTGTAGTAAAGTATTTTATAATAAAGAAAATATTTTGTCATAAAAAATTGTTGAAATTGATATTGTTAATATGTGTATGTGTGCTGTATGTATATTTGGCTTTATAGGTATTTAAAACTGCAGGAATTATTGCAATATAAAAAATACTAAGTTATCTTACGATACAGAGAGACGATAATTTACCAGTGATTTATCGCTACATATAAGTACTAATTGTTCCTGTGTTTAGAAGTGCTAGTGTCTAATTCTCAATATGGTGATGCCCATATGACCTCACTTTCTGTTTTGATACGGTATCCAGTTAATATAGATCAGTAGATCACGAGTGACCCGGTGTCTGCCTTCCGAGGGTCAATTTCTCTGAACATAGCTATATATTTCTTCTAAATTTGACAGATCAAAATGGACAGCATGGCAGAGGTGCACGAGATCGACAAGAAGAAACGAAAGAAGAAGCGTTCTCGCATGCAGATGGCGAAGAAATTTCATCGTCAGAGGAACCTTGGTAATGGCCTGGACCAGGACACCTATCAGTACATGATTCGTATTCTCGAGTTAATACGTAACGATTTGTCTTCGTCCGAGGAGAAGACGATGCTTGTGCAAAACGTCTATCAGGAGATAGCTGGTCGCGAGGTCGAATGTGCCTGTAACCAAGTTGGATCTCTCGTCATAGATTCTCTGCTCAAGTACGCCAACTTGGAGGCCATTCAGAAGCTGATCCAGGCATTTGAATCCTCTTTAAGGCGATTCAGCAGCGACAGATTCGCCAGCCACATTTTGCAGAAGTTAATAATAGTCTGTGCTGACAGAGGCAACAGAGTCCCTGCGTCAAACGCGAAGAATGCCGATGGCGATAAGACGATAAAATCAGAAAATATTGTTGACGCTGTCATAGAAGTTAAGCCATCCGAAGTGCAGACCTATAACGATATTGTTCTGAAGCTGAGCAGATACGTTTTTAATAATAGCGAAGAGTTTGTGTTTGACGCTTATGCTAATCATGTGTTGCGAACAGTCGTAGAATGTCTGGGGGGATTAATCGAGGATCCCAACGAAATTAAGAATAAGAAGTCTGCCATGCCGGATCTTACGAAAAGACGTCCCGTGATACAGGACTATAAGGATTTGCTGATACAAAGTTGTGACCGATTACAGAAATGGCCGCAATTCCGTCAGTTTGGACGGGAACAAATGACTTCCGGTCTAGTACAATGTATCTTGTACTCGTTGAAAGATATTGATTCAGGTTTAGTGAAGACCATCATCAAGAAGATTATAACCGAATGTTTTGAAGTGAAAGAAGACGAGAAGCTGCCAAGTATATTTAATTCGGAATGTTCTATCAGAATACTGGAAGCTTGTCTGATGGTAGCCAGACCAAAACTCTTTAAGAAGATATATAACACCTTTTTCGCTGGAAATTTAGAATACTTATGTTCGACGCAAAGTACCAATTTTAGCGTGCAAAAGTTATTAGATTATTGTGTCACTAAGGAAGTCTTTGAAGAAATGTTTGACAAAGTAACAGAACATTTTCCAAAAATTCTCAAGCAAGGTTTTACCGGGATATTAGTCAGCACTGGAAATGCGTGCTTGAGATTGCAGGCGAAACAAGGTCCATTTGTCAATGCAATCGTTGAGCTACTAAAGTGTGACGCATCCGTAAAGAATCAAACACAGCTTGTACGATGTATAATGACTTTAAAGAAACCATCTCAACTGAACGTTGAGCCGAATAGTTCACCTGCACCTTTCCACTTGCACGGAAGTCTGATAATACAGGCCATATTAATGTTTAACAAACCCATCAAAGCTGTGAACTCCTTACTAGAGATGAATAACGAAGAGTTACTGCGGTTGTTTGGCGACCCGAAGGGCAGTCGAGTCCTGGATGCTTTCATGGACAGCAAATACATCGGCGAGAAGAGCAGGGAGAAATTATGTAAAAAGCTGCACGGCACTTGGGTAGAATTAGCCAAAGGTACGCACGGATCCAGATGCGTGGATAAAATGTGGGCATGGGCGCGCATGAATCAAAAAATGCTCATCATGGAGGAATTGGCCGCGGCTGGACAATCTTTAGGATCTACGAAATCAGGCAAGATCATTTCCGCGAAGCTAAATGTTCCCTTGTTCGCGAGAGATAAGAAGGAGTGGTCGCAATGGCAAAAGAAAGAGGAAAAGATTAAAGTAATGTTTTCAGATATTATTGAAAAAACTCCTGAGAAAAAATGAGAATCTGTAAAATATAATAATCTTGTATTACAGTACGAGAAAATCTACTATATATATGTATATTGTATGTTATATATAT